GGACGGCGCTCGAAGGAGGGAGGGTGTAGTGTAGTGTGGCACGGAAACTGTCGTGGCGCGCTGCTGGACTTTGAGTAGTGTAGTGTGGCACGGAAACTGTCGCGGCGCGCTGCTTGACTTCGAACTGGTGTTTACGCTGCGCTTTCATTTGCCTTGCAGGAACCTGGTCGTGTGCATTAACGGAAGAAGTGCAAACATAAAAAGATTGACTGTAACGTTTCTCTTTCTTTTTTATAACATTATTTCCTCTGATGTAGGTTGCTACGTGTTGCTTAATAAATCTCCAGTTCCAATCTCCGGAGTTCTCCCAAGCTTGTATACTACCCCATCACCTTCGCGAGCACAGGGAGGAGAGTCACTGGACGATAGTTTGCAGGATCTGAACGGCTACCGCCTTTAAAAATAGGGGTGATAATGCCACACTTCCACATTCTGGGGACTTGTTGTTCATCAAAGCACCTTTGAAAGAACTGTGACAGTGGTTCAGCTAGCTTGGTGGCCACAGCCTTCAGTACCTTCGGGCGGATGTTGTCTGCTCCTGGAGAACTATGCTCACGCAGTGAGAGTAACTTCCTTAGCACAACTGATAGGTTGAAAATAACATTTGTAAACAAAGGTGTCTGTAATGAGCTTGATATTATGGGACAGGTAGAGGTTGCGAGTTCGAAGATTGGGGCGTATTGAAGCCGCAGGGCATTAGCTACTTCTTCGGCGTTTTGTACGCCTTTCGTGAAAAGTGGGGGGATTCCATGCTTCCCTTTACGAAGCTTATTGACATGCCTATATAACAGTTTGTTGTTTGCCATGAAGTTTTTGGCTAGGCACTGTTGATAAGTTACTTTGTCCTCACGGACTAGTGCAATCCAATGGTTGCGATGGGTCATGAAATTTCCCCAAGTCTCTGAGTCGGGGTTAAGCTTGTTGCACGCCGTGCTGCATCCTTTATCGCCAGGCATTTTCGAGTCCTACTCCTTATAATTGAAGGAATTTTCGCTGGACGAAGGGGCTTGGTCTCTGATACTCCGTTGACGATGTCGCTGAGTCTATTAACGAACTCTGCCCAAACGTTGTCAAGGGGACTTTTGTTTGGGAATTCCTAAGCAGCTGCGTCGGCGAGTTCTTTCAATACGTGGTAGCGTGTGATTGTATGAGTTAGTTCCGAGTGTTCAGATGGATACTCTGCATAACACACATAGTCAAAAGTTATTACTACATGGTAACTGAGACCTAATGGACTATCCATCAATAACTTGTCAACCATGAGTTCCTCATTCGTGAGCACAAGGTCCAGTATGGACGGTGTGTTTGCTGTCCTGAATCTAGTGGGCATGGTGACATGATTGTACAGAGGAATATTGGCGATCATTTCCTGCAAGTCTGCTTTAAACTGCTCACTTGGCGATGCCGAAACCTCCAGATTGTGTAGATTGAAGTCCCCGGAGATGAGAGTGTGGCTGTACCTAGTACGTGTTACTTTGTTTAGGCCACGGATTAAGCAGGAATCCATTTCCAGAGTGGACGTTGGGGGGCGGTAAATGACAGCTAGGAGACAAGTGTCGTTGTGTCTCATTCGAAGACGGCACCAGAGTTAGTCAGTAACGTGTGTTTCCAGATCATCAACGGTTGTACATTGTAGATAGCTGCGGTAGTAGAGCAGGACCCCACCTACTGCAGGGGCGGTCGTTCCGGATGAGTGACATTCCGGCTATCTCAACCTCAGCATCAGTCACCTCTTGGTGTAACCAAGTTTCAGTAATAGAAATTAGGTCCCAAGCATTCGCAACCTGACGTAGTCGAAGTTCGTTAATTTTACTGAGGAGCTCTTGGGCGTTGGTGTAATTTTGGTGAAATTTGGTGAAATTTTCTCAGATTTAAGCAAGGTTTCGGAGGTACTGAAACTCATGTGTGAATTTTCGCCGACCAGTGATTGGCCGGCGACTAATCGTTTTTTCGATGTGTGCTTGGTGAAGGGTTTAACATTTTATTCATCGTCCGGGTGGTTAGTCCCGTATCTGATCTGCGATGTACAATGTAAGGTGTCTGGTCTGTCATCTTCTACAGGTTGTATGGGATCATTCGGCACACTACAGGTGCATTTTCTCTCATAGATCCCATCGCGTTTGGTTCTTTGGGTGACATGTCATCTCTAGGAGACATATTGCTGATTGTCTTCAGCCGAACCTCAGATGGCAGCTTGCAACGGAACATGTACCAGCTTTTTAGTATCCGCGCTACCATATGTTTTGACTGAAGGACCACCACAATTGAAGCGTAGTCAGCAGACATCGAGTGTGATAACTACCTAACTTCCACTATATGCACACATTCATACTCTTAGTGCTGAAGAATGTTAGAGTGAGTTCAAAAATGTTATCATGGAGCACAGAGATTAAGCAAAACGCACTTTTACTGTAGCTTTTAAGAGAACAGATAACATGTCTTAACTAATCTCGGGTAAGTAATGGTGCGGAAATGTACGATCGAATCAGGGCAAACCCGCTTAGGTAAGTGTAATGATCATTTTCACCATCATATATGAACCATTAAGTGTCCCTGATCAACATAATCAATTTGTTCAAATTCAGTCACGGTGACATAAAATAAAATAAATTCATGGAAAGATCGTAACTGCTAAGCTTTGCCAGTCTTAGTACAAACTTCCAGGAAGGCACCAGACAGCCGCTGCTTCGCAATGATATTCGCAAGTAGCGCGCGTCCTTCAAATAATGCAGTACAAGATACCACGGTATCACTCGTACCATCTTTAACATTTGCTAAAAGGACATGGGCAAGATGATTGTAATAAGTGTTATCCGTCATGATTAAGGTTCGTGCCCCACCCTCATTAAGACAATACCACATTCCTTACGAGTTGCTTGACCTATCACGCATATTCCACCCAGAAATATATTATGAAACCTTCTAACTACCCGCCTCGACACTCGTAAATAGCGGCAAGTTGATTTTGCGTGGTTCAGAAGCTTACCTGGAGAAAGCAGAGTAACTTCGGGTACACAAACATTGAGCCTTGTAGGTTCCCTTGAAGTAACCGTTGCTTGAATGGATTAATGTGGCTATGTCAAACCAACTGAAAAGTCCAGAATTAATTTAATCTTTTATCGCGGTCCAGATCCATAGTTTGTGTTGTAAAGTATTCACAGAATGGAGAGCAGATCTTGATATCAGTGTGATATTAGCCATAGCGATAAGCTACATTCGCAGCTTCGTGTTATTTGAACTTTGATTTTATCCTCCACGTCAAGCGTTTTGGCCAAATGTCAGTTTTGCATGCTTGGCCATGTTCGATAAGCAGAAACCAATTCCGCGTTGTAGTTACGCCGACAGGCTGTAACAAGAATGTATTCAGTTCGGTACTGTTTTACTTGAGGAGCAGTATCCGACCACGCACCAGTTGGTGTTTTGATGTTCTATGCTCAACACACATTAAACTTGATTACACTAAATGGAGCAGACAGATCATTGTGGTCGCCTTGCATTGCTATACAGTCGAGCTGCGTAGAAAGATACATTTAAATTTCAATCTCTGCGTCGCCTCGAATTAGATGGTTTAGAAAAGCCGCGTCTCCAATAGTAAGAAAATGAGCCGACAAAGCAAAAATTAAGAGAACTCCAATAACGACAATATTTGTATCACTTCATAATTTTCTGGTCTGTCACGAATGAACGCATGTATATCTATCAAGAACATACCTCTCTTCTCTTCAGCTTTTCACAGTTGTCAACCATTTCACATGGACATGGTTTCAGTAAGTTTACGCTAGGATTTTATGGTTACAACAAATTCAGAGAGTAAGGTATAAAAGCCTCATTTTACTCATGCTTTTGCATTACAGTGACTGTTATATTCCTTCTAAAATGCTCGGTTTAGTTTAAAACCATCCTGCAGTTTATTTACAAAATATCCATTATCAACTTTATTGTTAATCACTATATTCAAATTAATTTGGTAAGTTGGAGCAATAACGAAAATCCGGCTTTCTTTAGTAGCAAATATCTTTTTTTTCACAAGACATTAATACACCTCTTTTACCTTGGCATTGATACTAATCAGTTTTAACGATTGTCATATATCAGAATCGATATTTGATGTGCCCTGTATCCTCTAATCCTACACCGCCCGGTTGAGGGGTTGTTCCTGTTATGGACAGAGACTTACGTTCATAAAAATCGATGTTTTGATGCTGGCATCATTTAATATATATTTGCCTTAGTTGCCATGTAATTACTTTAGTGACCAAGGATCATTTCATTGAAAAACGAGTCATAATACATTTACGCAAGTGTTAAACAACTAAGTAATCAAAGTAAAAATAATCTTATTCATCAGAAACTTTCTAATTCATCGCTACATGCGAATGTTGTCCTTCTGGAACACCGCATAAACGTGACGCTACTCACAGGTTTTGTGTCAGTAACCTAAAGTAAATTCACTCCTAGATCCAGCCAATAGTCGACACCTAACTCGACACCACTTGCGCTTAATTGTTGCGCTCAAGTTAAACAAACAAATGTTTTTATTGGGTAACTGCCTTGATATGAAATGCCCGGATGGATCAAACCGTTAAATTATTAAAACGGAGTTTATCAAACGCGCTTCAAACGCTCCTACAGTATGATTACTCGGTGACTTCATAAGCTTTTTCCTACGACAGTGTCCCACTAACAAACAGAGACGCTACTGCGAATGTAGTACCCGTTGAGTAAACGCATTGATTCAATTTTTTCGAAAGTGTATAATTTGTTAGATAATTATAATCGACACAAAGTTCGGAGCAGTTAGAATGCTTACCTCCTCAAATTGCGGAAATACATCGTTAAAGACAGACAGGCTTCTTCTTAGGTGGCCGCAGTTTGACCCAATCAGTACCCATCTCTTTGGTCTGTTCCGTGATTGGGCATCATTTTTAACTTTGCATAAATCATATATATATGTCTGCAGTGGCACCAATGGATAATAGGTTCTGGATATAGAGGCGCGGTATCTTCTTAACGTCATTACACAGATGTCACTATTGTTGGTTTTGGGCCTTATGAATTCCTTGCTTGACGTAGGATGCGGTGAGTTTCAAATTGCACTTGAATCAAATTCATATACTATCTCGCACTCACGTCGTCATTTATTAGTACTGGGCTTTACATGTTACATATTTATAAATGGGTTATGAAAATAAAGAAGTTTACGCCTCTGCTGTAAATTCTACATAAATGATGGATGCAGTAATATTTCGTATTTACTTGGGCATGTTTTTCCCGAATTTATGTTGCCGTTGCTGCCACCTTATTTAAATCCCACTAGTGAGGTTTAACAGGAGTCTTACTCAGCCACATGGGGCAGAATGGCAAATTATTTTATACCTAAATCAAAAGTAATGCTTGTTAACACCAAACATGCTGTTTTATGCAATAGAGTAAACGTAAATATACACCTTTATCAACACGTATATATGATCCCTTCGCGGTATATATTGATATAGTACGTTTATCTCCCCTCTGCTTCTAGACTTTGTGTCCATTTCGGTTGCAACCGATGTGCTACCGAAAGTTCACTTCACAAATGACGCTCCCGGAGCAGATGCCAAATTTGACTGTGAAATTCAAGTCAGTATTTTGATTAAAATTCTCAAGCTGTTATCGTGTTGGCCACTTCGGCTAAAAACGATTTAAGTGAATCCCCCTTTATTTAGCCAAACTTACAATAAATCTTAGAATTCCAGTTCTATCTACGTTCATAATACCTTAATATACCCATAAAAGCCACCGCTGGTATATAAATAACTTGTAGTTATATATTAAACTTAAGCTTAATGTGATTCACCATTTGATACTCTGACATACTTTAGCGCTCAACACTGGATTCGACTTCGGATGGAAGTTGCGAATTATACAGATGGTTCTATGACCCACGTTCCAAAGAGCTGACATGCGTGTGCACAATACAGGATGTGGCGAACATTAGTGCAACGTTGTTACAAGGGAACAATACATCAAGAATGATTCCTGCAATTCCTAAAGAAAATTTCGTCGAATGTGAGTTAAAAATGCCTACTTTGTGAAACGCCATGCGTTCTAACATTTTACACAATTCTATGTGTAAGGCAATTAAAAGCGACTAATTTGACAATCCACTGAATTTTAGATATCTTTAAATGCACTGTCTACTCATATTCCTTCAACGTCAGAGATCGTCTTATATGCACAAACAATTGGCAGGTAACTATGGCTTGACCGGTTTTGACGATATTTATACTGATCTGGAGCAAGCGCCTTGTTACTCTACTCTTGATTGTCTCAGCAACAATAGACTCCATGGCTTTGAAGATCACTGGAAGTAATGTTAACGGCCTGTAATGCGCTGGTTTTGTGCGGCATCAAATGCTTGTTGATCTGAGTAAAAGTCCTTTGATTATACATTTTGAGAATATGCATCTCGTTTTTACTTTTTAAAATAAAATAATAATTCAGCGTAACCAAAAATCTGTTTTCAATAATTCCTCTTCAGGGGTCTACAGGTATATACCAATAACAAAATTTAGGTAGACAGACATCACCAGTGGTTAATCCAGGAGCGATTTAAATACTGACGGTGGCTGTCCGCTTGGTTACGGCAACTGACCTCGCGAGTCACAGGTCGTCAGGCGTTTGGGACAGGCTAGTCCCAACTCTCTAGTTAGCGTCTTCCGTATACAGAGCTCCGGGTAATAGAGTCGAAACACAATTGGCTCAGAAGCCTCTATTATTCGTTTACGCGCGTTGTTCGATCGGTTCGTCAAGCCCGATAGATAAGTTTGAAAGAATCATCTGTTTAAGTGACAAGCGCTTGTCAGCGAGATGTGCGGCTGTTAATGACCTGACTGCTTTTGTGCATCCAGTTTCAAGCCAGGCCGCGTGTTTTTCTTTCACAAGCTCGGACAGATGCCTTTTCGTAAGACCAATGTATTCTGCTACATATGAGCAGAAGAGGAATTATCGAAAACACATGCTTACTTACACATACTTCTGGTCTCTCTATGGGGTACTTTATTAATAATATTACCAACAGTTCAGCTACACTTATGGTAGCCGCTTGTAACGCGCCTAGGCGGGTGCTGTCTGCATTAATAGATCTTTGCTCGGGCAAGACATCAGCCGATTCAGTGCGTCATTGGTGGCGCAGGATGTGGTCACCCGGTTATGGTGGGATGATCTGCATAGTAGCGATTTGAAATAATGCAAAGGATGAAGGAAGATGAAGACAAATAAATTTTCGATGATGGTAACTATCAAGCAAACAAGCACTTGAGGATACAAATGATTTTACTTCTTCAACAAAAATTATTTCATGATAACACATCGTTGACCGAATACTTTTTATCGTACAGCGGATGAGGACAAATTGCAATGTGAGTTACACTATTTATGCTGTTCAATTCATTACATGATTGTTACCGTTACTTTATGCAAGGAAATGAATTATTACATTCCATTTACGTACAATAAAACATGCTTTGTAACTCTAACCTAACTAACCTTTGTTCAGCTGTGATATTTTTAAAACATTCTCACAAAATTTATAAAAGCTAGTGCGAAAATTTTCACACAAGGGTTAAATTCTAAAAATATAGATTATTGTATTACATAGGATTACTTTAAAAACTGCCGTTTTTTAAGAGCATTAACAAAAATGATATCGAGAGTTAAGATTTTGAAACAAAACCTAAAGCCAGAGTTGCTAAGAAACCGCAATCGTTTGAGAATTTGAAGTGGCGGCGTTTAATATGGCGTTTCAAGTGATAACGAATAGCTACTCGTTATAAAAGTGTGTTGAATTTTGCTTGAGTAGTATGCGTCATATCACGGTTCGTTTGTCATGCCTTAAACATTGAGTAGGGTGAGTTAACCATTTTCCCACAGGAAATAGCCTTCGTTTTTGGCTTTGGTTATAAGGGTGTCCAGGGCAGGATTTGTTGCTTTCGTTTTCAAATTATGCTCATTTGCTGTTCAAGTTAAGAAGCCTTTTGTTAAACTATCTTTGTTAGGCTTCCTGCAAGTACACTATCACTCGAGTTCTTTTAAAAAACAATTCTAGCAGCTCATCATGTACCGCTGATTTTCTCTGCAAAAGGCTTTTATTTCTTCACCGCACTATCACAGCTAAAAGCGATTATAAAAGACTGCAACTCTTGGATGCAATAACTATCTCGAAGCATAAAAGCATATTTGTGGCAGATTGCTTTACAGAAAAGTAAGCCTAAAAATGCAAAAATTTTAATGAGAGAAGTACTTAATTTAAATAACTATTTAGAGATTCCATTTTATCCACTTTTCTTGTAAAAGAAAACAGTAGCTTTTAAAAGTAAACTTAGACTGGCCGGACCGGTACTCTCACATCTGAGTTTTGCCTAGCGGTGGGTTCTGTTCGGCAGCTATGCTAGGCCAACGGGAAGCCTAGAAGCTAATGGAAATTTTGTATATATATATGGGGTGCACAAGTTAACGCTGTGTACTTTTTGTATGCAATAAGGTCAGTGTGATTGTCATAGTTCGTTGTTGGCCCGCAAACCCGTTCCCGCCAGATGTGAGAGTCCTGATCCCTAAACTGGCCAAAATGTTTTCAAAATAACGCGGATTAGTGTGTCATTTAAAGCACAAACGATGAAATTATACTTCAAAAAATATCAGAATGCTTTAGATCCAAATGTAAGTGGCTTCCCTTAAAGTAATTTCGGTAGAACTTGAATTAATTATTTGGATAAATTTACTGCAATTTTTACGTTTAGCCATGGCGTTATGATGTAACCCGGTTAATACTACTCATTCTATTATGTGCCCTGTTATTTTTTCCAAAGATGTGGACACTGTCATGCTTCTCTACCGAACACAAAGCGATGTTTGCTCGGCGTTCCTTGAAAATGCAAGTCAATTTTGTTTAAATGATCTCTATAATTTTGTTGTGAGGTAAAGATTTTAGCAGAATATTTAAACAGAATGCTTACTTGCAGTACGTTATCCATCAAGCATGTCAAGTATAAACTTTGCTG